ATCGATTGGTGCCCGGTAGACCGTTACTGGTTACTGAGTACGAAACAATTAAGTCTTCGTGAGCAGTAAACCTGATTAAAAGAAAATTGACATTCCATGTTTTGGCCTCTAGTGCGCGTACCGTAACTTTCCTGAAGATAAAACACATGCAGTTTTGTTTACGGATGTGATCTCCATTAATTGCTTAAGTTTAATCAAAATCGTTCAAATCGTTTTCAAGATAACTGCCATATTATGTTTTGGGCATATTTGAAGGGTCTCTATTTTTAGAGCTGGAATGTTCAGATCCACCGAACACCGATCTAGGATGAAAATGAAATCCGTCCAACCTTTCGGGTGCTAGTTAGGTGCGCATCCGGCATCCTTCCATACATACATACAGATACACAGATGGCATGGAAAAGGCCACTGTTTTTCATAATCAAGGGGCTGAAAACGTGTAAATTTATCAAAATCTGGAGATGTATTTTTCACGATCACATTTTCTCTTGTATATTGCATATATGGTTGGGGGGGGGGGGCACGCGGTGGTGTAGTTGGTTGAGTCACTATGCCACAAGCCGGAAGGTCGCTGGTTCGAGTCACGATCAGGTGGATTTTCTTTTTCAATTAACCTAATCCTTCCAGCCGCACTACGGCCCTCGGGTCGGCTCAGCTTCTAACAAAAATGAGTACCAGGAATCTTCCTGGGGGGTAAAGGGCGGCCGGCGCTTGAGGCTGACTACGTCACCGCCATCTGTGAGCCGATTGTCTAGAGAAAATATAGAAGCCTCGATGTCTCACAACCCTATGTGCCATCACAACTTGTTACAGGGAGAGCTTTACCTTTTACCTTATATTGCATATATGAGAAATAAAAAAACTCATTAGACAAGAAGTGCGAGTATAAAACTACCAGTATATCGACCCTGATGATGGAGACGGAAAACATCTCTGAAACGTTATTTCTTAACTCAGCACTGACACTGCTGATCGCTCCGAGTACAAAACTGTCTAAAAATAGCATTGCAGCAGTAATCTGGAAGTTAGGAGACTGGTTCTAAATTTCATTGCAACCCTTACCCCAGCAGGAGTGGATCTCTTTTTGGGGAAGCTTTCGGCTGTTTCTCCGTGTGCATAGATTGAAGACTGCAGACACACAAATCCAAACATTACCGTAGGCAAACCTGGATGAAAACGAAAACAGGCTGGCAGGTCTGCTTAAAACTTACGTTACGCTGCTGCTCGTGGTGGGGGAGGAATTGCTCTATTAGAAGCCCATAGAGTCAGGATTAATGTGATATTTAACTGGAATTATTGTGAATGGAAGCTACCGTGGCCTACTTCACGTACCTTCCTGGCAATTACTTGGAGGGACAGAGGAAAATAACGAAAAACTAAGAATAATTCTGGTCGAGAGTTCAAACGCTGGCCTGATTTTTTTTCGACCAACCCATAAATATATTTTGCACATGTTTTATCGAATGTTGCGATCGATTCTCTTCTTTTGTGACAGAAATGTTCCTTAGACCAGTCCCATGAAGCAGAGTAACATAAAATTGTATGAACGGGAAACAATAAATATTGAAGCACATTTTTCTGCTAACTCTTGTTTTTCGTTTCCATGCTAAACAAATTTCGTTTACCGTGTATTCTCGGGATCAGAGAATTAATCCATATATGGTAAAGGTAAAGATTAAGGTAATGCTTGCTACCATTCAGTCCAGAACCTATTATCTTCTCATCTGCTGTAAAAGAAAACAAAAAATTAGAATATACAAAACTATATTTTTGCCTGTGGTTCTGTATGGGTGTGAAACTTGGTCTCTGACATTAAGGGAGGAACACTGACTGAGGTTGTTTGAGAACAGGGTGCTGAGGAGAATATGTGGACCGAAGAGAGATGAAGTGACGGGAGATTGGAGAAAACTACATAATGAGGAGCTTCATAACTTGTACTCTTCTACAAGTACAATTAGAATTATCAAGTCAAGGAGGATGAGATGGGCTGGGTATGTAGAACGAATGGTAAGAAAATGAATGCATATAGGATATTGATGGAAAAGCCAGAAGGAAAGATACTACTAGGAAGACCAAGACGTAGGTGGGTGGATTATAATAAAATGGATCTTAGAGAGATAGGATGGGATGGTATGGATTGGATCGACCTGGCTCAGGACAGGGACCAGTGGAGGGCTCTTGTGAACAGGACAATAAACCGTCGGGTTCCATAAAATGCTGGGAAATTCTTCAGTAACTGAAGATTTGTCTTCTCCTCAAGAAGGGCTCAGCTCCGTGAGTGAAGGTAAAGGTAAAGCTGTCCCTGTGCTCAACTAATTAAATACCACGCCATTAAGACGTATGGCGGAGTGGATATATGGATCCGCGTATTCTTGACCCTTACACTAGTTGGAAGTGAATGGTCACTTTCACGCCCCACCGCTTTACTCATCCCCCGGGAAGGAGACCCCTGTACGCATTGAATAGGAGACTGGGTAGCCCCAGAACCGCCCTGGACGACGTGGATAGGAGAAAAATCTTGCCCTCACAGGATTCGAACTCCGAGCCCTCAGTCGAGAAGCCCATTAGCCAGTTGTTATACCGATTGCACTATCTTGGGTTCGAGAATTATTCTTCGAACTTGGGTGGAGGACTGATTCTTCTGGGATATAACGACGTGTAGTCCATTGGAAGTCATGAAGTTGTAACCCAGAAGACAGAAGTGTTCATAAACCCCCTTGTGAGAACCTCAAATCCTACATATTCCATGTTCTATTCTGAGACAAGTTTCATTACCGCATGTAACGATGACGACATCTTTGGTGCATACGTGCTGGCGGTTGGAGATACGTTGGCCTACTGAAAATTGTGGCGAACTTTCAAGTTAAAATTGAAAACACTGCTTCAGAATTTGTTGTGTCTTGATGTACTCCTCTGTTCGTATCACGAGGCTGAAGATACGGTCCAGTCAACGGAAAAAAAAACCTCCGTGGTTTAGTCCGCAAGCGAACTATACCGACCGAGCCACTGCCGCTGGTTGGAGACGTTAGTGCAAACTTTAGCTGATAGAGGGTGTCACGTGGTCAGCGCAACGAATCCCCACAGCCGTTAATTTCAGTTTTCTAGACCGGAGCCGCTATTTCCTTGAAATAGCTCCTCAATTATCCTCACGAGGCTGAGCGGTCCCGTCAATGAGCCTCCTTAAAAGGAGTCAGATTTCCTGTTCAAACGAGCGACTGCCATCTACTCAAAAAGAACTTAGCTTAATTCGAATGAGATGCTGATATCCACGGTGTAGTACTTATACAGGCCTAGTGGATACGTGCGTAACACTTCACTTTGCATAGAAAGTCCATTACACAGAACAGATAAACATTTTCATGAGAAGTATCTACAATATTGCTCGAATCCTTGGTTGGTTGTTAGTTTTGCTTTGCAACGCAGTCAGCAAGTTCATGAAGTCTGGGACACAGGAGAAAAGGTTTCAAATTTAAGCGGCCGAGAATAAAAGCTTCTGACATGGAATATAAGGTCACGGCACCTACACAGGGTAAAGTTACCCTCCTGCCTAAAAATTGCGCCATAAAAATCGAAGTGAAACGTCACGCTTTCCACACTCGCCGCCAGATGGAAGTGACTGCTCAATTTCACGTTCTGACTTTTGTACGCCCAGAGAAATGAGAATGATACAGAAGAATATTGTATATATTTTCAATGCGTGCTACGTGTCCCGTTCATCAGATCCTCCTTGATTTCATTACACATTACGACGCCTTAATTATATAAAAAGGTAAAGTTTTCTCTGTGCTTAACTAAGTAAGCACTACGCCATGAAGGCGTATGGGGGAGTGGATGTATCGATCCACATTTCCTTGACCTCGGCATTAGTTTGAGGTGAGTGGTCAGCTTCACGCCCGGCCGCTTTACCCCTGGAGAATGATCCCCTGGTATCCGTTGGAAAAGAGGCTGGGTGGGCCCCAGGACCGGTCTGGACGACGTGAAGAATAGAAAATTCTTGACCCTACTTGTACTCGAATTCCGACCCCTCTGCTATCCAGTCCGTCGCTGAGTTTAAAGAAGGCATATATCTTAACTTGACGTTTTATCCGAATTAAATATTAGTGACGCCGTGACTAGTTTATGTTCAGTGAGTGCATATAGTTGATAGTCACGAGATATTAACACTTTTGAATTGAACAATTTGAATCATGAGGCTCTTGGGTCTGTGGTGACTTCAGAATACGAATGGATCCATTTTCCATCCCTGTTCTACCGTGTAACTGTTGCTCGAAGTGAACACTTGGAGTGCTATGGTAGTGTAATCCGTGAAGAGCATTCATAGTTTGCTTTCCCTTCGCAAAGAAAGAAATTAGTACGGTGATATCTCTGTGTGTGTGTATCCTTTCAACTTCGAGGCATTTGGAAAATGTTCATTAAGTATAAGTGCATTAGCGTAGTCGGTATAGTGACTGGCTAGGGACTGGAAGATCCAGGGGGCGGGAGTTCTAGTCCCGGTAAAGTAATGAATTTTCTCTTCCCCACGTCGTCCAGACCGGCTCTGGAGCCGGCACCATTCCTGACCTCGGCAATAGATGCAGATGAGTAGTCAGTTTCACGCCCCAGCCACTGGAGAAGGGAGGCTGGTTGGGTCCCAAAGCCGGTTTGGACGCCGTGGAATAGAGAAAAATTTCTTGCTCATATCGGGAATGGAACTAAGGTCGTTCAGCTCGTAGCCCGTCGCCATACCGACTGAGCTATCCTGGCTCTAGGTAGACCTACGTAGCTGCAACATATGAACATCTATACCACCAAAGTGTTCAAATTCATAAGAAAAGGATTTAGAAAATATATAGTCCGGAATGGAATTCCTCAAACGTTCTATTTTTAGCCTATTATCCTTATTTTGAAAAAATAAAAATAGGCTTATGAGATCACCTTCCTCACTGTCTGTATGTCTTCCCCCTCCAAACTTTCGAATGTCTAAACCAAGCTTTACGAAACTTGATATGTATGTTCCACAGATATGGGACGGTTTCTTGCAGAAACCCTAGTCGACGAGTCTCTGTCGTCCAAAGCAGAAATGCAGAGGGCTGGGTTGCTGCAGCGCTTGGAGCCCCACATTCGGCTGTCCGGCGCTGACGTCACCGTCTCTCCAAACACTCCACCACCTTACCTCGACATGAATGGACCCAAAGGTAAAGTTTTCAGAATGTAGATCCGTTAGGGACGTAGCTGTAGGATTAATTGGATGGAGGAGAAGGCCTGCTGATGTGAACTGGAGCTGCGAAAATGTTGAATAAGCAGTCATGTACAAGCGACAAGGGGTAGTTCTGAAAGCTTAACAAAGAACGCAGATTTTAGGAATAAAATGCTGAAGAGAACACGTAGAATTAAGGTGAAGTATCAGGAGGAAGGAAATTTCGTAATAACTATCGTTTTTATTTGTACCATTCAGCTGATAGGATCCATTGTTTTAACCGCTTCCCCCCNCTTCTCTCTCTTTTCTCTCTCTTATTTATTCTTTTCTTTCTCCCTCTACTAGCACATCAGAAGATAGAAGTCGGGAGGAGCAGCCCTCGTCTCTGGCTCTGTTGTTGCGTTCACAAGCTCCCCAGGGTGTTCATGGGGTATCCAAGCATTTACGGAGGAGATAATATATATGCAGGCTTTCAAAACAACCAATAACAGTATTTAATAGCCAACATAACAATGAAACTCACACACAATATACAGAAATAAATAAAGCACGGCATAAAACCCTTTAGGGCGAGGCACCACAACCAAAAGTAGCGATTGCCCAAGTAATCACATATATGGACAGTCGTAACAAGTAGAAACCCAAAAATGCCCCACTTGCCCCAGCCTCATTAGGCCATCGAACAGGTTACACCAAAATACAGAAAATAATAATAATAACGGCAATAATAATACAAAAGAACACGGTCGCAACTGCACTGGAATCAAGAATATTCCATGAGGAGTTGAGGTAAAACACTGGCATTTTTAGGCTTCCAGCCAAAGAAATTTCCTTCCGTTGCTTGTTTAGCACGAGAACTACGCTGAACCACCTAGTAAAGCAATAAAATTTCCCTACAGTCATCTAACTTAAGTGTTTTAGTGTCATTGCTGCATTATCTTGGATTAGGTGTGTGTGTTTGTGTGTGATAAAAGACATTTAGAAATTTGTAGCCTAAATTCTTTATGAAAAACGTCACCTCATTGTGAACTGTGTTCTCTGTTTACATCCACTTTCTAAACTTCGTGAATGAAAAGACGACTTTTATTTCTTAGATTGCTATAATCGAAGACATATCAACAGGCTACAGGATTTTTAGAACATAAACAACTTGTATTTCTGGTTCTGATGCACTAAACTAGAGATGTCATAACAGACACGTATTCTGTGTACAGGTGCTCGTGAAGAGTATGTAGATGCCGAAGTGAATACTAATAAAGTGGAGGAAGAATATGAAGAATTTCCAGAACTGGGACCACCACAAATTCCCATAAGAATTCCAATTGACAGCCAATCATCTTCTACTTCATGTTCAGGCCATTCTGAGGACTATGTCAACTTATCACTTCCATATAGTGAACTCCAGACAATGTCTAATAAGTGTGGACCACTGTGGCGCAAAGAAAAGTTTATCTTCTTAGATCAGTGGCGACGGTGTTGGGCAGGAATCTATGGCCACGTTGTGCTCATATACAACTCTGAACGTGATGTTAAACCAAGCAGTTCTTTTGACATACGGGGGTTTGAAGCCCGTCCTCTAACTGCCAACAGTCAAAAGGACCCTAAAAGGAAAGATTCAGCATTTGAGATTATATGTCCAGGGAAGAAAACTTATCAGGTAAGCAGCATATGTACATAAGGTGGGGTTAAACTTGTCACTGTAATTGAGCACCATGCTATGTGCATAAGGTGGAGTGGAGTGAAGTTTCAGAAACAGATGCAAGTATAATCTTCTATTTTCATCTAATTTGCCATATATGCCTTAGGATCAAGTATATTCTGATACCACTATTTGAATTGTCTTCCTGTATGTTTATATACTTTCTGTTTATACTGAAGGACAAATTCTGTGAGCCTATTGCTTTCCTCTATAGAGATATATACATACATTTTTCCAAATAAATGTATTGTTAATTCTGTACACCCTCACTTAAAATTTGTGCTGTGTGTTACCTAATGTTGCACATCTTAACATTTTCTCTACTGCTTGAATTTTATTAACATTTTTCTATCTCAGTGAACCTTGTATAATATAAGACTGTAGGACTTCAACAACTTTATAAAATTTCAGTTTTTTCTCTTTGCTTACTTGTTGTTGTAACGTTTATTGTCCCATATATTTCTTTTTATAAAATTTAATAACACCTTATAATTGTTCTTCCTCTCTCTTTTTCCATGAGAGATAAGTACAGTCCCTTTAAATGTAGTGAATACCAATGGAAAGAGAGAAAGTAAACAATTTTAACAGTCTTAATTTTATGACAGTAACTATGCCCAAAGTGCATGGCTGCGCTGGACCTAGTTTCGTCTGTCCTTGTTCAGATCTCATTGTGTAATGTATACTAATTACTAATGCAAGTTTGATTCTTGCAAGTAGATTCTAAAGGGCTCTGATGATGATGTATAATATTCAGGATTACTGTTTTTATTCAACTTTGTCCATTATCTGATATTCTAAAAACTAGAAGTAGCAGACATTTTAACTTTTTAAACATAATAACAACATATGACACCAAAATATTATTTTAAATGTCACATGTGAAAATCTGCAAACAGGTATAATATTTTGAAACTGTACTGTAACATGTGTAATAGTGAATAGCCTGCCATCAATCCAAATTGATTAAATGGAAGAGCATGGGTTTACTCACTGCACATTCTCTCTGTATCAACTGCAAATTTTGTACTTCACCTCTTTGGCCCTGATATTGAGTCTGATTTTCAGCCAGATCATATCGTAATGTAGTCACATCATGAGTCAGATGTGTGACATACATTACAATTTAATTCCATGTAGTTTTTAGATACACAAAGAAAAAAATTGTAAACAAAACATTTAAAAAATAAATAACATGGAAAACTGAAGTCTAAAAATCAACTTTGCAAGAACAAAATGATGTTCTTAAAAGATCTGCAGCGGGCAATTTGAATAACTCAAGATTCATGAATTTCTTGGTTGTGTTTGAGGAAGGCATGTATCCCCACTTCCTGTGAAATAATTTCCATGAATGATAAAGGGAGAAGAGGAATATAATGTAGAGAAGAAAGAATGAATGTTACTTTTCTACAAGAAATAGGCGTAATATAAACCAGATCACTTTTAAATATAATTTCCAGGTATGCCACAATGTAAGTTCATTAGAGAAGAGACAAATTGAGGAGGTATATGGAAAATTAGGTAGATGTGTGTTTCAGAAATTCTATAAAATGCACATCTCAAACTGTGATTTAACATTTTAATTATAATCAACTTTAACACAATATTAGAAAGTTAATATCATAAACTGATTAATGTACTTCTCTTTAAAAACAAAGAAGTTTGGAAATTAAGCAATAAATGTGTCGTTGTTTTTATCTACATTTCACAATGCTCTGAAATTAATGACATGAATAATTATCTCATATTAAATGGAAAAATTGTCAAGTACAGAATTTTGAAATTTAAAGAGCTCTCTTTTCCTGGTTTGAGTATTTCCATATTCTTTACCTTTATCAATAATGATTTTATAACGATTTTGAGCTTGTTGTAGGGCATTCCTCTTTATTTATATGCTCTAACTATTCATCTTCTTCTCTGTTTGTATCAAAGAAGAAGGCAGTAGTTTTCTCTGCGGTATTTGAAACTTCTTCCAACACCACACCATATTGTGGTATAAGTAAGAAATGGAGGACATTGTAATATTCCTGTGGAAAGATGAAGGTCGTTGTCACAAATAAGATTTTGAACCCATGAAGTCCATCTCCAAACACAGCCCTGGTGCAGCTTCATTGAAAAGTATCATGATATATGAAATTAACAGAACTAATATTACTAAACCATAACCGTTTTTGTGTCTACAATGAACTACTTGTAATGCAACCACTCTACATATAAGATATACATATACTGATGCTTAGTGAATAATGAATGGGAAATGCTGAGGAAAGTCGTGGTCAGGGTCTAATCTGAGAGGTACTATCCCAGTATTTGATAATAGACTGATGATATTACATTCATTTTCAATAAATATATTAATCGATAAATAACAAAACGACTAATAATTTAGTTGGATGAACAGTCACCCAAACCATTATTTTCATTTTTATTTTTTAACAATACACCATGAAAATCCTTTGTCAGGCTAGCAGGGTTCTGGCCGAGATTTGAACCTGGAACATTCTGAATGTACAGTACTTAACTGTGACAATTGCTAAAACTGAACTGGCTGGGAAGAAGGTCTGAAGCAGAATGATGTGATAACTGGATAGAAGCATGCAAAGCTCCTCATACCAGGTTCTTGCCTGACAGAACTGGCAACTATTACATGTAAATAGTAATCAGACTTTGTGGTTAAACTGTTTTCTCTGCCTAATATAATGTTAGAGGGCTTTCAGTTCAAATGGTTGCAGTCATACATAATGTGTTGTCACGTGTAGGAGTTGTGGGCATGACTTATAGCCGGGTTTTGGATTGGATGATTGGATTTATTGACACCTTATATACCCCACATGGAACTATAGGCAGCCGTATCGCTGTTTCTACGCTTTACAGTTCGCTGTTACACCCACTAGTGTCCTCAGTCTTCACTAGTTACACATTGGCAGCCTGGTAATGGATTCATTACAATCTACCTGTCAGTGCAAATCACACATGAAGACTTCTTTGCACAGCCTAATTCCTTTCTTTCCATTATTCTGCCAACAGCCAACTTTGGAGACTCCGTCAATTCTCTGCTAGAACTGCCAACCCCAGAATTCAACTCAATTCTCAACAACAACAACTCACTGCTCACTTGGAACTCCAGAACTCGACTAACTCTTCTCAACCGAATTTTTCTTTATAACCATTTTGCACGGACTGCACAGAAAACACCATTTCCAACAATATCACTATTGTTTTGTTTACTGAACTGTTCTATTATTGCATGCATATTTGTTGCTGCAAAAATGTGTTTACCTAGCCGTTGTCTAGCAATGAAATATTCTGGGTTTCAGGCATCATGTCACAGCGTAAAAAATAAAATTAACTTCGAAGCAATATAGAAGTTATGCAAGGCCTAGGGAGGAACGTTGAGTGCTTTGTAATATGTGTGTGATAATATATTTGAATTACAACATTTTTGTTCCAGTTTATTGCACGAACTGCCAAAGATATGTGTCAATGGGTAGCTGCCATTGGTCTAGCAAGCAGCCAGCCAACTCCTACAGTACCAGTTCGTGTGCCTGACAAAGCTATAGTTGGTAGACGGCAGTTGCCTTCGCTTCCAGACTCTGATAGTGAAACATATGATGATGTTGGCTCAACAATAAAGTCTGATGATGGGCAACAGAATTATGAACCTCTTCAATCTGACGATGAAATTTATCACGATATTTCAGATGTATACCAAAGAGGATTAAAAACTGAACCATCATCTGAGTCTGAAGTGAAACAAATAGAAGAGGAGCCACCAGTGCCACCTAGACGAACAGTCCCTCCTGTTCCTCAAGAGGATCCATTAGACCAAGAAGTAATGTATGATGACGTTGGTGTTGTCAGTTCTGATAGCACATACTATAATATGGTTGGTGATGGTGCAGAACAGTTGCAATTGGAAGAGCCTGAAAAGTCCAAGGCAATAAACAAAGTAGGTGAAGAAGATGAGGAAGATGGTGAAGATATTTATGATGATATTGGTGTTACTGAACAAGCCCCTGAAGCAATAAAATTGTCAGCCTTTCGTTGGGAAGGTTCTGGAGGCAGTGGAGGTCGTATCCAACATATTATCAAGAAAATGGAAGCATCACTTGGCAATGGAAACAAATCTACTGTTGCAAACCATCTAAAATCTACACCCATAAAAAATACAGATTCTGAAGAATTGTATGAGCCAATTGAGACTGGTGCAGTGGAAATACCTCATACACAGCCTGAACTACTGACATACTCCAGTACTGTTCGATAGTGCATGACTGTGAGTGTTTTTTTATTATAGATCTCATCCTGTGAGTTCCATTGACAATTGTGCAACAGGGTTATAAGTTCCTATACCTGCCTGCCAGTGAAGTTTATTAGTTTTAAATTTAAACTACTGGTGCATGCTGATGGATAGAAGGTAACCTGCTCATGAAAGACATAAATTTAATTTCAGCAGCTATCTTTCAAGAATTCTTATAGTTCTCAGATTTACTATATACAAGATTTTTCAAAACAGATGTTCCAGTTTTAGTTGTATTTATTCAATATAACAGGCAAAAAATATCAATGTGGTGGCCCCCCACTCTGTACAAAAACCTTAAAATCGTGTAGGAATTGAGATTCTCGCAGAGGCGGCGAAGAAGATTTCTGTCTTCTGGGATATGACGCTGTGTATTCTGTTGAAAGTCCGCCGATGTTTCAGAGGAACATGTTGTCACCATCTTCAGGGTTGAAGTGTAAGTCAAACAAGAAACCAGCAGGAAACAAACAGAGCCTCTTTCTTGGTTTACTTTTCAGCCATGGAAATGGAGGTAACATGTTCCTCTGAAACAGCAGCTGACTTACAATGGATTACATGACATTATGTTCCAGAAGATACTACTTGTGTATTTAAAAATACATCTCTAATTTTTTTCTGTGTTCATATTCCATATAAGATTCTAGAAATAGTTTAACATGTGTGCCATTCCACTACCTTCAGTTTAATAAATCACCATATGCTGGCTTTGCATAACACTGATATGTGTTTTGGTATTTCTGGGGTTAGTGTAAGCATGTGAAAGAGAGAAAAAGAGGATCCACATGCACATGCTCACACACATGTATACGTATATGAAAAAAATTAATGGAAACCAAATATATTCCCTAAAACACAGAAATATTGCAAATCTATGTGCTTTGACTATGATGATATTAAATGGAAATAGATTCTTTACAGTTTTCTCTCCTTATTTCTGAGAAAGAAGTGTTGAGTCATTTGTCTCTCAGTGTTTGAGAAATGTTTAAATTAGTAAATATTGAGAATTTGTTGGTTTTACCACTCTTCACACTATGTGAAATTATCAAACTCTCCTTTTATGAGTGTTGATTTCCGTACATTATGGAGTGTCAGACTAAGCCTCAAAGATGATGGAAGAACTTAAGGCAACATAATATAATAATAATAAGAAAGAAGCAATCAATGGATAACTTTGTGGTCTGATACATGAAGAACATATAAAACATGGTTTCAACAAATTTTATCAAGATTTTTGTGCTCCTTATATTCATAGTTCTGTTTCATTTTCACAGTGCTCTCAATTAGAAGATTTCCTTTTGGCTTTCATTCACGTGTACTGTGCCAGTATTAAGTTGGAAATAGATTCAACAGACCTATATAAGACCTTTTACAGAAATTACGCCATGTGGCGCGTATGCCTAGATACGTGTATTTTGATAATTCCTATAAACACATGTTTATATAATTACAATAAAATTAAAATCTCAAGTTTTGTATATTGTGTCATAAGTTTTTTAATATTTCATATTTAATGAAAACTTGAAAATGTCTGTGTTCTAAGATATTGTACCTGCTTATTCAGGAGGAAGAATAATAAGTTTTAAGTTGTATATTTTTGGTCAAATTAAATAGCATCTGCTATATACAAATAAGAAAGTATGTTAATGAATTAATTTGCTGGGAAAAACATTTTCTGAATAACAAAACTAAGTGACTCTAAGCATTAAATGGTGTGTGTCCAAGTCTGCTAAAAATTATTTTTTTAATAAGAATAATGGAATAAAATGCCAATATAGGGTATCTA